AACTAATAAAACATGTATGAGGATCCAAGGCAGGAGAGTAGGCACAGAGGGGAGGAGCAAGGGCAGGGGGTAATCATAGGGCTACACAATTTGATAGGTGGAAGGAGGACTAGGCAAAGGAAATGGGAAAGATTTGACAGGGATCTGGAAAGACAGAGTAATGGTGGACATAGTTCAATGATGATTAATTTTATAAAATATAATGAATGGGAATTATTGTATGAAACACAATGTGAAAGAAGGATAATGTGAAACAAAATACATACAAACTTTGTAAGCAAGTAAATATAAAAGAAGAATGTGAGTCTTTTAATTTATAAAAAATAAATAAGGATTAAAGTGTCTCTGACTCACAGAAAAAAAAAAGGGGGGGGAAAGAAAGAAAGGAAAAAAGCAATTCTACTTGTACTCCACACACAGAGCTGCCAGGAAATGAAAAAGCCTCAATGGTAACTAATAAGAACAAAAGAAAACATAATCACTTGGGCCTTTGTATTTACAATGACTCAAGCAATTATATTTTCAATTGCTTTTATGCATCTGAAAGTTAGACAATGAATAAGGCAGGCCAAAGAAGAATTGTTCCCTTTGAATTGTAGTGTTCGAGCAGAATATTACATATACCATGGACTGCCAAAATAACAAATATAGCTTGGAGGAAGTACAATCAGGGTGTTCATTAGAGGCAAGATTTGGAAAATAATAACATTAAATGTTTACTTCCTTATGTGGCTAAAACAAGGGGGGGCAGGTATACTAAGATATAAGATATAAGATCCTTAAGATAAAAGAAAATAGAATAAAATGTACTTAAATATTTATCTATCCTTGTTTGTAGCTATGTGTCATTGAGTCACCTGAAACTCATAGCGACCCTATCCAACTCTGAACCTTGCCTTATCCTGGGCCAGCTTCACTGACTGTGATACATCTACCTCCATTAAACCAGCTACAGTGTCAATTCAGCTCTTTCAGGGTCATTTTCTCCTGCACTGTCCCTCCACCCTTCCAAGCATGATGTCCTTCTCCAAGGACATGCCCCAACTGACCATGTGTCCAAAGTATGTAAGATGGAGATTCAAAATCCTTGCCTCCAAGAAGCAACTTGGTTTCATCCTCTCCAGGATAGACTTGTTTGTTCTCTTGGTGGTCCATGGTATATTCTTTCTTTGTAATGACCTTTTACTCTCCTCATAGATGATGTCCTTGATGTCATCCCATAGCACATCTGGTCATTTATCATTAGTGTTCAATGCCTCAAAACTACTCTTAAGAAGATTTATAAATTAAAGTGGGATAGACTCAAGGTTGTATTTTAGTTTCTTCTGACTTGTTTTAATTTTATTTGGTATTAATGAAAACAAATATGAAGACATGTATATGCATATGTATGATAATGGGCCAATAACTTTAATATAACCAGGAAAGGAAGTGATCAATATGAAAGAATGACAGACTTCAAGATCTTGCTGCAGAAGATCAAAACCTACAGCCTTCATTATGGATTATATTTAACCATCAAGAAAACAAAAATTCTCATCACTGGACCAATAGGGAATATCATGATAGATGGAGGAAAGATTGAAATTGTCATCTTACTTGGAGCCACAGTCAACACCCTTGTTACTAGCAGTCAGGAGAATGTATTGCAGTGTTAAAGTCTGCAGTCAGAGACCTCTCCAAATCACTGAGAAGTAATGATGTTAGTTTGTAGACTAAAGTGAGCTTGATCTTGCCTCTAGTCTTTTCAATCATTTACTTTTCATCTGAAATCTGGACAATACATAAGAATGACAAGGAAAATTAATGCTTTTGAGCTGCGGTACTGGAGAAAAGTAACTAATATTCCATCTACTGCCAAAATAACAAACAGGTATGTCTTGAAGGTATCAGCAGAGTGTTCCTTGGAGGCAAAGATGACAAACTTTCATCTCACACACTTTGGGCATGTTGTTGGGAGAGGTTATCCCTTGGAAAGGGACATAATGCTTCCAAACATGTAGGCCAAGAGAAACAGTCGACCCTTAACAAGATGGAATAGCTGACTGTAGCAATGGGCTCAAGAATGTTAGAAATGATGAGGATGGCACAGGATATGGTTGCTGTGAGATATACTTGACTTGATGACACCTAATAACAAATACAAATGAAGTTTGATTCATGAAGCAAAGATGGCTAAATCCTGAAAACATTATATGAAATGAATGAAAGAAATTACTCCATAAGAAAATTATAAAGAATACATGGATTCTATCTTAATGAAATGAACTCTGGTGGCCTAGTGGCAAGAAGCTGTGCTGCAATTCTGAAGGCATGTGGTTTGAGGGTACCAGCTGCTCCGCAGGAGAAGGATGGACAATCTTCTCCCATGTGATTAACTGCCTCTGAAAACCTGCCAGAGGGTCAGCTCTGGGTCAGTTCTGACTCTATGACATGCAACAACAACACAACATGTTAATGAAGTCAGAATAGATTTGAGTGAAAAGATTTTCAATTTAAAATCTGTAAAATAGTTAGAGAATTTATTGTGGGCATTCTTTGAAGTAAAAAGGAATTGCTTTTCCAATATGGCTAAGCATTAACAAACTAATCTAATTTTCTTGGCTGAGATATACTTCAGTTTTCCAATCCACAATGGCTTGCTTGTACATACACTGTCACAGTGGTCTCTATATTACTCCTATGTTAGTACTGCATAGACTTAATGACATCCTTTTAGAATATATTGTATTATTAGGTAGAATAAACCTTTTTATTCAGAAAGCTTTTAATTCTAAGTTGCTTATTAAAAATCTCCCCAAAGAGCTTTCTGAGATCTTGAATAGGACTGAACATATGGATGAATTTGAGAGAAATGACATTGACATTGACTTCTCATTTAAGAACATGATCTAGGTCTTTATTTAGGTCTTTCTTTATGTATGAGTGAAACTCTGGTCACTTAGTGGTAGAGTTGCACTGCCAACCCGTTGGCATATAAAAACAACTACAACAACAACAACAACAATAATTTTCATTTGGCAACTAAGAAGACTACCTGGAGGTGGGGAGACGAAACCCAACCCTCACGGCTGTGAAAGTTCGAGCAGACTCATAGCTGACATTCCATTGGGTTTTTGAGCTGTAAATCCCATGGGAGGAGATTTCTCATCTTTACCCCTTGGTATAATTGGTGGATTCAAACCACTAGAAAGGCTCTGCGTTTATGTTAGCAGTGCAATCCCTACAGACCTATAAAGTACAGAGAAATCAAGTCACTTGGTCCAAATCAGTAGCTCGTAGAAGTTGTGAAATAGAACACAAATCATCTAACTCAAAATTTCACAATTCCATACAACAAAAGCAAAGATGGAAAAGAAGAAGAGAAAAAAGGAAGGGGTGAGTAAAATAAGGAAAGAAGAAGAAATATTCGTTCCTGAATTTTCCCAGTAATGTGCATTTTGCTCATTTATTCTACTGGTGTTACTGAGCCAACTATATGTCATTGCTACCTTAGAAACAGCACATCTGAAACTTGCCCTGTTCTGCACCATTGTCATGAGCTCCGTTAGGTTCAAGTCCATTGTTACAGTTCACTGTGTCAATCTTGTTGCGACTCTTCCTTTATTTCACTGACCCTCTCTTCTGCCTTGCTAAACCTGATGTATGTTTCCAAGGACATTATTATTCTACTGAAGATTCCTTAAGCCCTGTAGAATATTTCATACTTCTCTGAAACATTTTAGGCCAGTAAACAGATTAAGAATACTCTCAAGTAACACTGTTCTGCATGAATGATGCTGCTTTTGCTATTACTGCTGCTGTTGTTAGGTGCTGCTGAGTGTATTCCAATTCACAGTGATTCAATGTAATTAAGGAGGGCTGCTCCAAAGAGTTTTCTGGGCTATAATACTTACAGAACCAGATTATCAGGCCTCTTTCATGCCCTGCTGGGGAGGGAAGGTGGTGCTTCAAACTATTAAACTTTCAGTTAATAGTCAACCACTTAATACTTGTGCCATCAGGAAGAATCATAGAGTAGAAGATAAAGGGACTACAGTGAAAGAATAAATCTGCTTTCTCTGCCACTTTTCACCAGCATAAAATATGAAGCCAGGGTATAAAATAAAATCTGATAATTACAATAAGTACATGCAATATGATTTAAGTTTCAATTCATTCTCTCATAATTTTTCAACCTTAAGTCAACATTACACAAAAGTCAACATTACACAAAACGCGGTCTCTCTCTTAACATTCAAAAGCCACGTGAGAATATCTTCCCAGGTCTATAAGGGCATAGAAACCGTTACTTTCCTCTAAAGGACAAATATTGTACTCAACCTCTCATTTTAATCAATACCACATAACCCCTTGATACAAGTCCTTAAGTATAACAGCTCATTGCTGTCACTTTAGAGCTGACACCAAGCTGACCCTTCAGTGAGTTTCCAGGAGCTGTGAACCACACAGCAGGAGGCTGCCCATCTTCCTCCTGCTGAATGGATAGAAAATTCAAACTGCCTGCCTTTGGTTTGGCAGTGTAATTCCTCACCCACTAGGCCACCAGCATTCCCCAAGTATAACAAGTGAATGTAATTTCCATTAATTCTTACTAGCTGGCTTCATATTTGCAAATTTACAAAACAAAAAAAGGAATCCTCTACAGTGCCCTGTCTCCATGTGGCAAAAATAAAAACTCAGACCCTAAATTAATAACACAATTTTTCTGATTCGGAAGAGAAGAATATTTTGTTGTCAAAGGGTAATCAATATAGAAAAGGTGATAGATGAAAATACTCTAGGACCTTATACCTATCATCATGAAAACTCTATATTACTGAAAAGTACCACTCACCTCTATTAAACCCAAATGGAATAATGACACAGTGCAGATGAAATTCAGTCAGCTACAGGAGGAGTAACAGTTCATGCTTAATCCAAAATAGTCAGAATAATAAAGCATGGATAGTAACAGTGCTCTAGAGCTTAGATATCACAGCGTCAGCTCTGTAACATACCCATGACTGAGACATCATATTCTATCAGCAGCGTTGCCTCTTGTCCACACTGTTTAAGAATACTCATGGCTTCGGCGTGCGTGGTTCCAAGAAGCCGAATTCCATCCACACTGAGCAGCCTGTCCCCAGGTTTGATCGTGCCCTCTCTGGAGGGTGAATAAAGGAAGAGCCTTTGTTAATTTACATAATGGACTCAGCATTAATTGTTACTTAGCCAAAGTGGTTCCTTCACACACATTCTGCCATCCATCCCATTTGCATTTCCTTCTAAGCATCCAGGAGTGAGACTGTAAGTGAGTTAAGAGGTAATCCCTGAACAGAAAATTGCTGTAATATGAAAATCAGTAATGAGAAAATAACAAAGCAGTGGCAAAGAACAAAGTTTTCCAGAATTAACTCTTAGGGTACAGAAGTAATGAAGGCACATTTTCCCTTTCTCTGGGTTTTTGCTGGCGTGACTCAAATTGATTTATTAGAGCTCAAGAAATGGCACTCACCTTCTTTCCCCAAAGCCAGGTGAGCAGAAAAGCCTGCTGATTTCATTCAATTTATTACCAGTGAACCCACTCAGGATGGGGCGTGCTGGTGAAAAATTTCCCTAGTCTGTAAATTTCCCTACTGATTTATAAGACCATTTGGCAATCATTAAATTGATTCAGTCTCATACTCCCTGGAAGAGGCAGGCAAATGCTGTTCTCCCTGCTGTGAAGATAGACACTTTAGTCACTGAGGGAAGATGCCTTAGGACAGCTGTGATACCTCAGTGACATAAGGTAATCTAGGGAGAGCACCAGATTACACTTCTCCTGCCTTAGGGAGGGCCATGGAAATGAGAAACTCAAATGGGTAAACTGCAGGTTTAGGATTTGCAAAGCACAAAAATTATCCACCTCCTCTGATAATATATTTCTTCTAGACAATCTATTACATCTAAACAATTTCATCTTGCCAACGCTTCAAGTATTTTTTCCCATCTACATAATACACTTCACATTTCACCTAAGTAATTCTCTAGGTATTTTGGCTCTGTGTTTTTGTCTTAAATGTTTAGAATTATTTTATTTCTCAATTAATGTGGTAATAAGTTACTCACAAACTAGTAGCCTCTGTCTGACTTGTCTGTCAAATTCAACCATAAAGTTTAATAAGAAATGGAATTTTATTCTTATTTGCCGAGGAGATGTATAAGAATAAAGAAAGACAATCTCCTAGGAGCTTTTAACTTGGTATTATCTTTTGTCAATATATTTAAACACAGTTGTGACCAGTGTATTAATACCTTCGTACTTTATTTTAAACGTTATATTTTTTAAAAGTACCTGAGTTTCTATTACATTTCTTCTTCTTTGTAGCTGGCAAATTATTTAACCAAATTCAGCCTCAGTTTCCTCATCAATAAATATGGGTAAAAATACTTTCTTTAAAGACTGGCTATAAGGATAGAAAAAAGCCTAACGAGCAATTATCAGTTTCAAGCACATATTAAGTGCCAATAAATGTTTTGAAAAAAATTATTATTACTTTATCTGTTGTCTTTTTTCCAGTTTTTAATTTTTTCCTTTTTTATTGGTTTGCATAATTCATATACACTGTGTTTCATTCATGTACATTGTGTTTTATACCATCTTTCATTTATGGTGTATTTCATACAATCATTCATAGACATTATATTATATAGAATTAATTAGTATTGACCTATGCTGACTTTTTAAAATAAAACTTTTATTTTATACTGGTTTACTTACAAAGTTCATCTACATTGCATGTGTTGTCTTTTTAAAGAGGTTTATATCTTTTTATTGGTCTGAAGCATCGTGAAGATACTCAAGTGTATGTCCCTCTTACTCTTCTTACTGGTGGGAGTTGTATTCCCCTCCACAATGGAGTCACCTTTTGTGATGAGGGAACTAATATGAAGAGAATTGGGTCCTCAAGTGCTTACATGAATTTACTTGACCCTCTACAGGGTTCATGATATGAAAGTTGAAGAAACTTTCCTTTCCCATACTCAAATTAGCAGACAGGAGAAAGCTCTAGAGACTGACCTTCCCCTTCCATCTTCCCAAAAGTCACTTCCTTTCTGACATATCCTCCTTAAAAGGCAACAGCAATAGCAATACTGATAAGGATGCTGTTAATAGTTAAAACCATACTAGGACTACTTATCTTTGCAGATCTGGAGAATAGCAATTAGAGGTGATGCATTTTAAATGCATGTATTGAAAGACTCCGTTTTTTACCAAGGCCCTTTGGAATAGCAGGCCCTCTGTGAGGCACCATATGTTGCTATTTTCTAAAAGCAAATTAAACTTTTTTCAGTCAAGTCAATTCCAACTCATGGGGACACTGTAGGACAGTGTAGATCTACCCCAGAGGGTTCTTCAAGCAGACTGCCACATCTCTCTCAAGGGATTGCTCACGAGTTCGAATCACTAGGCTTTATAGGGAGAAGCCACATGCTTTAACCACTGTACCACAAAGCACTCTCAACTGCCCTCCAAGGGTAACCGTTCTACAGGAAAATGTATTATTTAGATTTTACAGTGATGGAAACTGAATCGAAACATGTTAACTCACTTGAAAATGATACATGGCAGAAAGTGGTAGAAGTTAGAATCAAACCTTGTTTAGTTTTCTGACTTCACAGCCTAAAGTCTTTCAATTTTCACATTCTAACATGTTTACTGAAAATCTATCTTTACTATAAAAGTTGTATCTCATCAACTTCAATGCCAAAGTCCCCAGCTTTACTTAACCTGGTTAGATGGTGACACAGAAAGATGATGTTTACCTGTCAGCAGGCCCTCCAGGACGAACACATGTTATCACAACTGGACGAGATTTATTTCTATCATCATGCGCTCCCCCTAGCAAAGACAAGAAATAAGGCTGAAAATGCTTCCACTATTGCCATTTAAAAAATTCACTTAGAAAATACCAACTGAGAACTGAAGTACATTTGCTGAAATAGTGAAGAAAACATGAGAAGTTTTCCTTCAGGCATCTAATAACTTTAAAGGTTTTATTCATTTCATGCAGAGTATATTTGTAAAGTCCTCATGTCTTCACCTCTCTCTCTCTGTGTGTGTGTGTGTGTGTGTGTGTGTGTGTGTGTGTACGTAGGCATATATACACACACACACAGAGCTATAATGAGGGATAATATATCAAATATTTGCCAAGTGACATGGCAAAAGCATCAACTAATTGCAACAAATAGTGGCAGATTGAAACCACCTCCAGTTATAAACAAAGTACAGGTATGTCTACCTAGTGACAATGAACCTGGATTATAATTCATTTGTGGAAATCTCCAATTTGGCATAAAACAAAAGTTGAGTTAAAAGAAATAATCCAAATATTTGGAAGAAAAATAAATATGAGAAAACAACATGTCTGAAATGCTATCCATCAGAGTAGGAGGGGTTCAATTTATTTTTATTTTTTTCCCCAAGGGGAATGGAGGAATTTTGCAACCCAGGTAAATGCTTAGATAAGGATTTCATTTTGCATAAGAAAAAATTTTAGTAACAACAAAACCTCAAGATGAAAGGGGATTTACTGTAAATTCTCTTTTTAATCTAGGGCTCCTCCATGAATCTATTCTTTCTTTAATCTACGCTCCTCAGCCTCTGCTTGAAGCACTAGTATTGACCTGCTTACTAAATGTGAAGCGGTCCATTTTACATCTGGACACATATGAGCGTTAGGAATATTATCCCAGTATTGAACAGATAAGTATCTTCCTGAAATTTTCATTCATCTCTTACCTAGTCCTATTATCTAGGACAGGGAGCTCTGGTGGCTTAGTGGTAAGAAGCTGTGCTACAATCCCAAAGGCACACAGTTAGAATCCACCAGCTGCTCCATGGAAGAAGGATGGACAGTCTTCTCCCATGTGATTTAATGTCTCTGAAAACCCACCAGAAGGTCAGCTATGGGTCGGTTCTGACTCAATGGCACACAATAGCAATATTATTTAGAACTGTAAGGCAAACAGCAGGTGCCTCCAGCAGTGTGAATCTAACAGCTGCTCTGTAGGAAAAAGATGTGCAGACCCCTCTCACTAAGATTTACAGCCTCAGAATGATGCAGGGTCTCTGGCTCAATGCAGTGCGCTGAGTTGAAGTGTGGCCTTTGCTATTATTTGAAAATAATGAATCGAGTTTTCTTTATCATTTATTTAGGGATTTGAAGCTGCAAAGGAAAGCAGAGAAAAGGCAGAGACCAGTGGTGGTCTCAATCCCAGCTGCACATTATGTTCACCTGGAATGGATTTTAAAATGATCACTGCTAAAGCTATAATGTGGATCAAATATGATTATCTGGAATTAAATGTTAAAAGAGTAGTAGTGGTTGTAGTGTACTGTCGAGGCTGACTCTGGTGGGTTTTCAGAGGCTAATCTGACAGGAGGAGACGGCCCATTTTCTCCTGTGGAGCAGCTGGTGGCCTTGAACTGCGTTATTTGGGGACTGCAGTGTAGCTTTTTTACCACTAGGCCACCAGAGTTCCCTTAAAAGAGTAGTTGTTGTTGTTAAGTGTTGTTAGGTGACTCATAGCAACCCTATGAACAAAAGACGTGAACACTTGTATAACTTTCATCCTTTCTCCGGGTTCATAGGGTTTCCGGAGGCAAGCGATTTCCGAAGTGGATACCACTCCTGCTTCCAAGCTAGTTTTAACCAGGGAGCTCCACCAAACACTGTCCACCACAGGTAACCATTCTTGAACTTGACACATCAGTGTCAGAGTGTTCATCTTCACAGCAACTACAAGTTACCTCTGTACAGCAAGTGGACACACCAGGGCTATCTGACCTAGAACAATGTTTAACCAAAATCAATTAAAGACAGGTCTAAGGGCGCAGATTAAAGTCACTCACCTTTGGCTTGGTAGCATCACTTTCTCTCCACTAGGCCAACTGAGCAATCTCTATGTTGTTGTTGTTAAGTACTGTCAAGTCATAGGTGTCTCATAGTGACCTTATGAACAAAAGACCTGAACACTTGCAGGTATGGCCAAACATTTCAGTATTTTAAAATTCCAGCATGCCCGCATTCTGGAGTACTCTGGGCCAGAGACCCCCAATTCATCTGGCAAGTCCCCTCTGCTGACATCCACTTGGGATGAAATGAAAGCCATAATAGTCTTGAGCGTTCCATACATATCCCTCCTCAAGATGAAAGGGGGCATTCTAAGGTCCAGCTTGAGCCAAGATTTACAACACAAAAAAAAGAGAAGACTCTCCTAAAATTTTATAGTTAGGGTACTCATTAGAAAAAGTTTCTCTAACCATAGAGAGAGATCTGCAGGCCTAGTGGATAGAAAGTTATGCTTCCAAGTCAAAGGTGGGTGATTTTAATCTGCAGCCCTCTGCCCTGGTTTTAATTGTTTTTGGTCAAACATTTTTCTAAGTGGTATAGCACTGGTCTGTCCATCTGCTGTACAGAGATAACTTGTGGTTGCTGTGATGCTGAACACGGTGACACTCATGTGTCAAATGCAATAATGGTTACCCATTGTGGACATTGTTTGGTAGAGCTCCCTGATTAAAACAAGCTTGGAAGCAGGAGTGGTATCCACTTCTGAAATAGCTTGCCTCAGGAAACTCTATGAACTTGGAGAAACGATGAAAGTTATACAAGTGTTCAGGGGTTTCGTACATAGGGTTGCTATAAGTTGTTTACGACTCAATGGTACTTCACAACAACAACAACCCTAGGGAAAACCAACTTATTGGTAAAGTGATTTACCTATTAATCCAAACCTTCAGAGTGAGTTTGGTGGTAAGGGAATATGAGCAAATGAAACCGTCAATGATTTAGGCTAGCTAGAACATCATTTTAATTCCACAGATTCCATGTTCTGCTTGAAGAAATCAAGGCTTAGGGGCCTTTGATAGAGAGAATGAGAGATATCAATTAATTAGGTAAAAGCTTGTTTTAATGCTCAACGCCCCATTTCAAATGGTTGATGAGAAATTCTCCAGTACTAAATGAGTGTGTTTCATCTGCAATGCTTTTCTCTTTCCCCTGATTGTCCTGTGTTCTTCACTGACTTGTGTTCAGCTCAAATGCCCTCTATACCATTAAGTTTGGTCTGTGAGAACATTTACCCACAGAATTTTCTCATTCTTCAATCTTTTCTTAGTTAACTAATGCTTTTTATCTTTCTCCCCCTCCACTTTTATCTTTTGAGCTAACAGCTGGGGTGGAATTGAAAGAAAGGTAAACTGACGTGCAGTGAACTGGGCTTTAGGTTGCTATGGAGTGAAGTTCACTGGCAGCAATGGGAAGTATCTAATGAATGGGGGGGAATTAAATGGAAAGAATATGCTGTAAAACATATATATGTTGCATTAAAAATCATTTATAAATTTTTTTAGATAACAAAACAAAAGAGATGGGAGTTGACAGTCTTTTAAGCAAAGAAGGTTCTACAAGTAAAATTCAGAGATGTAAAAGTATAAGTCCATTCTTTTATTTGATCTGATAAATTATGCAAAATTCAACAAACTTTCAATTTTTGTAAATGACCAATGTAGTTAATGAAGTCTATAGAAAGATGAAAAATTCTTATTACTTCACTCATTCTTTAAAGAGCCCAAGATGTACGTACCAGGCTATATTCTGCAATGCGTGTGCATGCATATACACAAAGGTAGTTAATTAAAGGAAATTACACGGCTTTTGCTAACATTACATCATCAACTGTATTGAAGTGGTTGTGAACTTCAAGTGCTCTTATAATTTTTATTTCTTAGTAATAAGTTAGCATTAGTATAGCATGTTATAGCATTTTTATTATTGGCTAACCCAACAGTAATCAATGAGTATTTGCAAGAACAGTAATTTCTAAAGCTTTTAAAGAATTAGACTTGCATGCATGTGATTCAAATATCTTTCTTTCATACCTATATCTAGAACAGATTTTTATATATATCACCCCCTCATGGGCCCCAAGTTATTTGCACAATTACTTTTAATTATATTCATCTATGTCTCTTACACACATATATAGAGATAAGGATAATGATTAATGATTAGCATTTGTTTCTCTAGTTCAAAGCAGGCTCTGATCAGAAAAATGTGTTACCTAAGTGTCTAAATCATTCACTGAGTTTCTAGTTACCCATTCACTGTATTGTTACTTAAGTACCTTATCAACTTCTGTCATAAATTCACTGAACTCTGATTTCCTCTAAATAGGATTGTTGTCTTATAACCAACTCTGTCATAAGTACTTTGTTCTATGCTTGCATGTTGTTATGGGCTTAATAAATATTTGATTGTGTGATTTGTTAATGAAATGAAGGCAAATGCTTAAAGGTCAATAATTTAAGAAAAGTCTAAACAAATGAATGAATCTTTTATACTTTAGTGTATATGTGATTACTAAAATGTGCATTTAACACTATTTAATGGTTTAATAATTTTGGTAGGGCTTTGACTTTGGTATAGTACAAAATCTTACAGGTAAACAAATTACCTATGTATCTGAATAAAAAGAATTACAAAATTTGAACCTAGAACAAATTATGCTGAGACACACAAGTTCGTCTAAAAGGGTCAATTATAGTACAAGTCATTAATTTTTTTAAAAAAGCTAAGGAAAGGGAGCTCTGGTGGCCTAGTGGCAAGAAGCTGCACTGTAATCCCAGAGGCATGCAGTTCAAATCCACCAGATGCTCTGCTGGAAAAGGTTTAGTGCATAAATAGAACAAATTTTTGAGGGTTAATAGGGATGAGAATGGAGAGTAGGGAGTAAAAAAATGTAAAAAATCTAAATGATAAAACAATAACAGCAAAAGTCAAGAAGTGATAATCCTGGATGCTAACTACTATTCTTGCTGAACTATCCTGTACTTAACATTGCAAGCTGCAACATAAGCATAGCCTTTAAGGGTTAAAACTTGTAATAAGGAAAAAGAAAGCCATAAAACTCTGAATGAATCATTTTATAGGTAAGATAGAGCTGCTTGAAATCTTTATTATGAATGTCATCTCATAAGAAGATAAGTTGAGTTTAAATTCAAAGAAACCAACTGTAATTCTCATGTACATAGGTGCTCAAGGGATCAGATTATCTTCAATCCATTTAGTAGTGCTACATTAACAAAATGTATTTCAGGAGAAACAATTTAAAGCAAGTTGCTTAAGCCCAGAGTATTAAACCAAATCAAACCATAATCAACATTTTTGATTCAGTGATACAGAAATGCATGAAAGGGAAGACCAAAGAGAGGTCGAAAAATAAAGTCAGTAAAATGACTGTGAATGTGAAAAGGATTACAAATCATGCTTTTTTACACTGTATTGTTGTTGCTGTGTACCATTGCGTCGGAACTAACCCATAGCTGACCTTCTGGCAAGGTTTCAGAGGCAGGTGAGCGCACAGTCGGAGAATGTCCATCCTTTTCCAGCAGAGAAGTGCCCTCAAACTGCGTGTCTTAGGGACTGCAGCACAATATCACCTTTTTGCATGATGATTTTTCTGATTCACTGTAAGTATTTCACTGATAAATCTTCCAAAGATGTTCAGTGGTTCATCTTTTCTAATACCTACCTCGTATTACGAACCCAAAGGTGTTGCCTTCTTTATGTAACGTGACCTCCACTGTTCGGAAAATGATACCTGATCCTTGTACAGCTGTATATAGGAAAAAGAGAGAGAAACTGTCAGTGTTAAGCTATAAAATGCACTTAAAATTTTCATGTGATATAAAACATCCCTATTGATAATTAGTTTTGTTTTGAATGTAATAAAAACAATAATTTCCTGTTAAAAAATCTTAGGGGAAAAAAAGAATTGCAATGACATATAAATACCAGAGACAGTCAACTACCTAAGTAAATCAGATTGCTCAAAGCAATACCCAAATCATAGCTATTTCCTTTCCTTGGATATAAGAAATTTCTAGGAAAAGGGTAACACTTCAGTTCGTTAAACTCTATATAATGAGGGGACATTCTTCTATGATAAATGGAACTAATTTTCACTTGTTAAATAAAAAATGTTTCTTGCAAAGCTAACATTTACTTATTTTTATACTTCAAACCACCATAGTTATCCTTTGATTGTTATGACTAAAAGACACTAAAATACAGGTGCTGTTGAGCAGACTCTAATTCAAGGCAAGTCCATGTGGTGTAGAAGTGTTTTCAAGGTTGTGTGGCCTTTTGGAAGTAAATTTCCAGGCCTTCCTTCTGTGGTACCTCAGAATGGGTTTGAACTGCCAACCTTTAGCTTCACAGAAGGGTGCCTAATCTTTAGTGATACCTAAGGTGTCACTGCAATAGATTTCCACTGCCATACATTTATTCTGGAGGCTTTAAATCTTTCTGGGAGCCCACTGCTTGACCTTTGCCTCTTGGTGTGGCTGGTAGGTTTTAACATCCACGCTTGGGTTAAGACTGCAATGCTTAATCCACTACATCACCTGGGCCATTGAGTCAGAAGTGATTCATAGCTGACCTTCTGGTGGATTTTTAGAGGCTGAAAAATGTAGAGCAGGAAGTTGCCCATCTTTCTCTCCCAAAGCAGTTTGTGGACTCAAACCACCTACCGTTGGGTTGGCAGTGCAACTCCTTACCCATTAGGCCACCAGAGTTCCCTTATCAATACATGAGGCTAGGACAAACAGATGCTCTGACATGATATAGAACTATTTTAAAAGCCCTCAACATACCACATCAAAGTTGGAGTAAAAAAGGACTAAATCTTTACAAGAATATTACTATTGAATGGAAGAAAAAACCCTTAATTTTAGTTGATATCACCATGATTAAGCTGTGTTTGCCTGAAGATTGCTCTTAATTTTACAAAGAAAATCTGTGTTGCTAAATTTCACTCTCTGATTATAGTACACATGTATTAGTGTTGTACGATGGTATAAATTACCCAAATAGTATGAGAGACTTTTAAGGAATTGGCAGTGATTCTGGTCATATAGTAATTACACTAATATTTCATTATTAAAACACAAAATTCCCATGTATCAGTATTTTATAATTAGAAATATAAGCATATTTTTCTTCTTAGAGGCAGAAAAGCTTGTGTATTAGTTGCATAAGTTGATGGGTTTAGGCACTTGTTTTGAATTTGTACATGTTGTTGTTAGGTGCCATTGAATTGAGTATGACTCATAGCAATTATAGAACAACATTTCTGAATCCTTCTTTTATCCTGTGCCATCCTCATACTTCCTAACACATCAGAACCCATTGCAGCAGTCATTGTGCCAATCCATCTGGTTGAGGGTCTTCCTATCTTTCACTCACCCTCCACATTTCCAAGCATGATGTCCCTCTCCAAAGAATAACTTCTTCTGGTAACATTCCCAAAGTGTGTGAGGTAAAGCTTTATCATCTTTGCCTCCAAGGAGCACTCTAGTTGCACTTTCTCTAAAACATATTTGTCCTTTTTACAATCCATATTCAGTATCCTTCTCCAACATCACAGCTCAAAAGCATCAATTCCTTCCGTCGTTCTTATTCATTGTTCAGCTCTCAAATGGATGTTGTATCTATATACATTAATGTGTACTTAGTGTCTATATGTATTCAGCATTCAGCATCAGGACAGTATGACATTAATACTATTATAGCCTGAAGGATTTATTATATAAAACTATTAAAAAGAAATACAGAGACAAAATTTAAAGCAATGTTTTAAGATGAGCTTTTCTTGCTACTTACATAAATAACAACTAGTTTTAAGTAAGTATTAATTACAATTAATGTTAATTTTTAGAAATTCTAAACATTTAACTAAATGGGCAGCATTATGAAAGGTACATATTTAAACTTAGAAAGTTACACATTACCCATTTGGGATAGAAAGTGCAACAGAACTTGGGTCTGCTGAAAACAACATAAACCTACAGTTGAACAAATGTTTGGTATACTGCTGATTTAATTAAATGTCATATTCTTGCCACCTAGGGAACTTCAGTTTATTCTCATCAACTAGGAACTGTACACAGACATAGCTGAAAGTGTTGAGGTACAATTTTAATTAAAGGGAAAAAAATGAGCTAAACTCAAATGTTTTCTTATGAGCCACCAGTTACTTTAAGAAATTGATCAAGAACATGATCTTTGTGCCCTCTTGCCAAGGAAGGAGAGAAAAGTATATGGTAGAAGCAATTAATGAATATTTCTTGTGTGCCAGGCACTTTACAAAATGGTTTACACTTTATTTCATTTAATTACTATATCAGCTTTAAATTATAAGTGCTCAAATTCTATTTCAAGCCAGCTGGACTTGCTGGCCAGGTGTTTGTTCTGGGAATGCAAGGTCCTATAATATTAAATTTGCTTGTGCTAATCTCATTAACTATAAACTGTTAAAATTACATCTAAACTCATTATCAAAAGAGGCAGGGAAGACCAGGAAAGAAGGCCAAGAAGAAATAACAAAAGGAAGTGTGAAGGGCATCATTGAAATGTGATTGTCATCAACGTCATGAAACATAATGTGCATTAATTGTTATATGGAAAACAATTTACTTTGTAAAATTTCACTCAAATCACAATAAAAATTTAAGAAAAAAATCAAGTCAATGTAAAGAATATGTAGATTATTCTACAGCTTCAGATGATCCACAACATTGTTTTCTTCATTTATAAAGATAAATGTGAATGCCAACTACATTATAATAAAATTAGTGAAATAGATATGGTCTTTGTCATATTTATGTGCATGACATGCTCTGCATAACCATATTTTCATGCTCAATGACAGACATCCTGTATTGCTGTTCAAATTTTACTTATTACTACACATGTGCATGCATATGCATCCAAAGGTGCAAATTAGTAGTTAACTCAAAATATTAAAATTGGTACTGAGGAAAGTAAGGCAGAAACCAATATCATAACTCATAAATATGCCAATGTTTTAGTTGTACTGCCTGTGTTTCTATGTGTGAGTAGGCATATATTTACAATACAGTTGTTTTACTTTGAAAGATTTTTATAAATGACATACTCTTTCTTCACCCTTTGTCCTTACATCATAATTTTAACAGAATAGGCTGCCCATATTTCCCAATTTCATTATATTGAATTTGGCCATGTGACTTGCTTTGGCCAATGGGATGTTAAGAGATATGAGCAAAGGTTAGACATAAGCTCATGTGGTTGGGCTTGTTTTCATAAGAGATTCTCTTGCTCCTTCAGACTGGATTCCAACTGAATCACTTGGACAAAACCTGATTCAAACTTAAACCCATATACTGAAGTTGAGCTGCCCAAGTGAGCCTAGGCCAGATCAGTAAAAACAGAGACCGATGAACAGTGTTGTTTAAATCTACTGAATTTAGCAGTGAATTGCTTTGCAGCAGTGGCTGCTGCTCCATTTAATAAAATGCTCATTACATCAAGTCTCTAGTTGGCACGCTGCTTATTTAATAAAATGTCATAGTTTTGCTATTTTGAACATGGGGTTTTCCTTGAGGAGAACAGGAATCCCAGAATACTTGATTGTGCTTATACAAAACCTATACTTAGACCAGGAATCAGCCCTCAGAACAGAGTATGGAAACACTGCAGGGTTCAAAATTAGGAAAGGAGTGCTTCAGGGATGCATCCTGTTTCCATACCTTTTCAATCTACATGCAGAACAGATCATTTGGGAAGCAGGAATTTATGAGGAGGAATGTGGCATTAGGATTGTAGAAAGGCTCATCACAACCCTGCTTTCTGAAACTGAGGTGGACCTGGAGAACTTGCAGCAGAAGGTCAAAGACTGTAGTCTTCAATATGCATTGAAGTTCAACATCAAGAGGACAATGATTCTCCCCACTGGACCAACTGGCAGCACCATGATGAATGGAGAAGAGCCTGAGGTTGTTAACAGTTATAGCTTGATCGTCTCCACAATCAACACTCTTGGCACCAGCAGTCAGGAAACCAAAAGATAGATCTGCTGTCAGAGACAGTTCCAGAGCACTGAGAAGCAATGATGTCAGTCTAGAGAATAAGGTACACCTGATCCAGGACTTAGTCTTCACAATTACTTGCAATTCATCAGAGAGCTGTATAAAAACTATGGATGATAGAAGAAAAACTGATGCCTTTGAATTGTGGGGCTCGAGAAGAACATACTGTGGACCACCAAGAAGACAAGTAAGTCTTTATTGGAGAAAGTGAAACCAAGTGTCTCCTTCGAGGCTAGGATTTTGAAGCTCTATCTCACATATTTTGGGCATGTGGCCAGGAGGAACTGATCCTTGGAGAAGGACATCATACTCTGAAGGGTGGAAAGACAGTGCAGGAGAGAAAGACCCCAGATGAGATGAATTGGTACAGTGAGGAGGGCAATGGGGGTACAGGTATGTCCAAATCAGTGAGACTGGCTCAGTAGAGGGCAAGCTTCAGAGCTATTGTACATACGGTTGCTAAGAGTTGCAGGTAGTTTGATGGCACATAACAACCACCACATAGTTTTGCTATCATGGAGTTTTGGTTTCTTCTAATCAACTAGGAACAATACATTAAAATAGCTGAAAATATCTAGATACAGTTTAACAAAATTTAAAAAAATCCCAAGTTAAAACCTAATGTTTTATTTCCACTTGAATAAATCTGATTAAGTGAATGCTTTTTTCTTCTTTCAGTAAGGAAAGAAATGAAGAGATATACAGA